TGCTGGTGCTGGTGCTGTGAGCTGGCTGTGCACGTGGTGGAGACAGGGTGCCGGTGCTGGTGCTCGGTGCTGGCTGTGCGCGGGTGGAGAGAGGTGCTGGGTGCTGGTGCGGGCTGTGGTGCTGGTGCTGGGTGCTGTAAGCTGGCTGTGCGCGTGGTGGAGACACGGTGCCGGTGCTGGGTGCTGGCAGTACGCGTGGTAGAGACAGCGGGGGCCGGTGCCGGTGCTGTGAGCTGCCTGTCCACTTGGTGGAGACAGGGTGCCGGGTGCTGGGTCCCGGGTGCTGGTGCTGGGTATACCGGTGCTGGGCGCTGGTGCTGGGCGCTGGTGTTGTGGTCCTGGGTGCTGGTGCTGTGAGCTGGCTGAGCGTGCGTTTAAGACGGGCGGTGGCACTGGTCGGGTGCTGGCCGCTGCCGGTGTTGTCAGCTGGCAAAGCGCACCGGTGCCGGTGTCAGCTGATTGTGTCCGCTGTGGAGGTGCCGTAAGCTGGCTGTGCAGGCTGCGTACATTCTTGTTCCAGCCAGTCGCATGTCAACAGGTCGTGGGATTCTGCCTAGCTATCTGGGTCTATGCTGGTGTATTTTTGGTTCCAGCTGGGCTGTTGGTCGAGGATCCCCAGCGGGCTTTGCACCATCACTGCTGTGCCACTCCTGGGTGTTGGGATGTGCGTCGCCGCCGGGAAGCTCAGATGCGGCTGGCACACGTGAGTCTTCGGCATCACGAGGGATTGTGTTTGGGACAGCCCCAGGAAACACCCAAAAGCGAAAAAGATGGGCTTGGTTTTTTTGACTCGTTTTTCTGACTTCTCGCTGGGTGCTCTGAAGCTCTTCAAATCGAATCCAAGAGTCTTGGAGTTCCGGAGTGTTGTTTGAATGTTGGGTCTTATGGAGTGTGGACTTGGCCTTTTATTGCTTGCCCAGAATTCAGTAAAACTCAGGTGTATATTGGGTTTCTTCATTTATGCGTGACTGACTTTAAATCGTTCCCTCTTTATTGATTGTAGACGCGAACAGGCTCCAAACCATCGACAGTGCGCGTGTAGTGAAGTAGTGGCCAGCCGATATCTGTGAGGTGACCACCAGTACAGCATCCGTCCTCAGCTTTCTGGTGTTTTGGTTGGTGCTTGGAGAGAATATGAAGGAACACCTCATCTTCGGCCACAAGCCACTTGGCATGGATGGTGATGGTCGGCAAGCTGGAAGGTGTGGGGGGATTTCTGGTATGGTGATGTGCAGCTTTCACAAACCGCAAGCTTCGAAATTAATTAGGGCTGGATAGCAGTAAAACCATGGAGATGGTCTTGAATACTACAGCATGACTCCGCGGCCATCACACGTGAGATTTCATATGCTGTATGTATGTGTTTTCTGAGCATGGCAAACAGTGCTTCATGCTGAGAACAGCTAGGTGCTTTTGGCTGTTTGCAATGTTTCTATCGAAGACGTTCACAGGTGAGGGGGAAAGGGAAAACGGATACCTGAACTCTGATTCTGAGGGTCTATGTCGCGCCTGTCTACCTCATTTGCATCATCCTGGGATCGGCAGGTGCGCACGTTTCGGACTCCTCGTGTTGTGGGAGATCCCAGACACCCAGATTGTGACGCGTCACCGGTGGGTCAGATGGTGAGTAGCGCCACGTGAAAGACGCAGAACATTCGATCAGGTGACCACGTATGTGCCTGGGGTTGAATGGGGTGGGGCAATGACGTTCGTGTCAACTTGCACACGTACTTGATGCTACCTCACTTGATGCACCTCGTGACGAGCCTCAAGCGATTTGGTCCAAGCCCAGGGTTCGTTCGATCAAATGTCTGCATGTCAGAAGTACTTCCAGGGTCTCGAGCCACACCACACACACACACATATATATATATATATATAAATGATCATAAATGATTTCATGGCGCTCAAGACATTAAGTTTTCCTAGAAATCTAGGAGCCTTATCATTAGTGCGAGCGCTTCTTCAAGGAAGTTCACCCCCACCCTCAGGTGGGGGTTGCTTCCTTGAAGAGTCGTGAGCTATGCAGCGTCCGAGCTAGGAGCTTCCTATATTGCCAGTAGCTTAGCTTACCTACTTACTTAATTAAGTAGGCACCTACTTAATCAAGTAGGAGTTTAAACAAACTGTTCTGCTGCTTTCCTTTTGCTCGTGTCTCCCTCCACCAACATCTGAAGATTTGAGTCGATCCCGCCATGATGGGTCATGGGGACATCCGCCCGGCGTCAGAACGGTCCCGTCGTCGGAGCCGGCGGGTCCATTCTCACAGTCCTCCAACCTACTAGCGATGGCCTCCAACCTAAGAGTGATGAAGCTACAAAGGATTTGCTGCAGGATTTGCCCTGAGCGGATGCGGAAGTCATGTACTTCCGCCTTCCATCCTGTTCTTTGCTCCTTCGTTGACGTACTCTTCCCGCTTCGATTGAGCGAGCTTGCTGGGGGTTCCCATTGCAAGAACCGTTCACATTGACACAGCTTTCATGGGCTCTGCGAAAAGCGTTCCGTCTTCTGGTCGTGCCAGGCCTCGTCTATGTGACAAGGACCAGCAGGCGATGGTAGATTTACAGATTTTCAAGTGGGATTCACATGGATTCGCATGGATACACCTTTTCAATGTTCTTTCAGCAATCCTTCCTGGCGAAAAACATTTCCTTCTTTTCTCTGCGAGGTCTGGAACTGCTGCCTCTCGCCAGGCGTCTGTTGGACTCTTGTTGGCGGTGCTTGCAGGTGGGGCGAAATGACAAAGCCGAACCTTACAATGTTCATTCACCTGCAAGGTGTTCATGTGTGGGGATTCAGAAAACACCTTTTGTGATTTATTCGTGAAGGCGGCATTGAAGAACTGAGAAACTCACTTTCTCCCGTAGCTTTGTATTTGGTCTTTGTTTACACAGCACAACCATCATTACATGCAGCCATGAGGAAATCAGAGAGAACCTTTGCAACCAGAACACAGCCACACACCCTTCTTGCTACACCCTCTTTCTTCGACTTGATATATATATATATATATTATATATCCATTCTACCTCTTCCTTTTTCCTGGGCAGGGGAACCAATGGGTTGATTTTCTTACCATGGCAAGTCTCGCGGTGTTCGGTTAGGACCCTGCATGAGGTTTCGTTGCTTCGAACGACGGTTCGGTTTCGAACGACGCCAGGTGGCTTTTCTGCTGTTCAGTATGGTGCCGTCAATCTGGGCCGTCGCTCCGCGATGCGGGCGATTGGCTGTGACGAGGAGAAGAGTGATTGGGAGGGTGATGGACCGAAGGAGAACGGGGTGGTCCTCTGGCATACCGAGCGCAGTTGCTGTATGTATGTCAATGGACACCACGAGACACACCACGGAAGTGGCAGACGCCCAGAAGACGCAAGTGGCATTGAGGTAGGCGAGCGTATTGCGTAGCTGCGGTCGGTGGATCTTGCGAAGGTGGTCATTTTTCTGACTCCTGATGTTCGACACGTCTCAGGGGACTCCCCCCATGGTCTCTGATGGGGAAGACACAAGAGTTGAGGCCCAGAATATTGATTAGATGCCAGCATCTTGCAAAGCCATATGTATACACTCAGACACCTGTACCAGTACAGAAACCACGTTGACTCAGAGGTCGCCGCGGCGCGGCGTCTCCGCCACCGAGAAAACGCCTTCCGGGTGGGTTGGGTCCGCAGGACCCCTCTACATGTCCGGACGAGTTCATTGAAGAGTTCAACAATTTTGGATCTTGGATCCTTTGGCTGAAGCGTGCTCGTTGGACAACAAGAATGCTAAGAGGGAACCAGTGCATCGCTTCTAGTAACAAGTGCCTTACCAGTAGCAGTAAGGACGCTACTAGGAACAGCACTAATACTTCAACGAACGCCAAGTCTAGACTTCTTGATCAGCCCCGAACGTGTCGTCTTTGACTGGGGGCGAAGCGAGCTTTGTGATCGGGCCAAGTCAAGAGGGCCAAGGACAGCTGTTCACAGACTTTGGGCTTTTCCGTTGGTATTTCCAACTGAGACTTCAGGATGGCTTCCTTTGGTATTGGTGCCATGCTGGTGACCATGTTGACGATGGCCGGTGCCTACGGAAAGTATGCCTTGTGTGAGAGGGACGACTTGGACAAGCAGTTGGGAGCTCAGAGCTCGACGGAGCGATCCGGTGCGAGAGACCTCTCTTGACAGGTTGGACCAGACCGGCTGGGTTTGGTTGGAGTCTGCTGAAACACCGATTGGAGAGGACCAATCATCCAGTTAGGCATCGAAAAAAAACCGGTATTCTCCAGATCGACCGACCTGTCAGCTGCTTCTTTGGGTGTTGGACACCGGATTTTCCACTGCCTTTCCTTTTTTGCAGTGTCACTCAACCTTGACAAACCCAACGTCGCTGGATCCCTTTTGAGCCGAGGCCCAGCAAAGCTCCCAAGCTCCACTTGAGGACCTTGCTCCTGCCGGGCACGGCCGCGGGGCTTCTCTGGTGCTCGGGGAACTTCTTCCAGGCGAACATTGGAAAGAAGAGACTGAGGAGATGGACTTTTGAGATCTTAGGAGTCTAAGATCTTGTGTGTGCTTTTTTTTGAAGCTCTATATGTAAGTGACATGTGAGTCTCTGACCACGGGCATCCGGGCTGTTTTTTCGCTGCCAAATGGAAGACATCGGCCGTGCCACCGACCGGACTTGAAGCAGCTCTATGAAGCGAAAGAAGCTCTATTGAAGACTTCTCACTGCTTTGGATGATGTTTGCAGAAAACATGTGACACTGTGAACTGGTGCCCTTGTCCTTGTCCTGCTGCCCATTCAGACAGATGGAGACATGAGATACCTAGACCCTAAGCCTCTCTCAAGGAATGCAGATCTCGCTTTTACAGATGTGAAGTTAAAAGAGATCATTGACTCGACACTTTCAAACCCTTGAAAAGCCCTATTAGGCCCTAAAGAATCTAGAGCCCTGCATAGTCTTGCTTCCTTGCAAAACAATTCCGACCTTTTCCTTGGACTTACCTGGCCAGACAGCAGCTGTGGTGCGAGGAGGCAATGCAGCTTGGCTGATGGACATCAAGCTGACCGGCTTCTGAGGTTCTCAGTTGCTTCGAGAAACCCATATATATATATATACAAATATGTATAAATATATATGCAAATATTTATGGACAACCCCCCATGATCAAAAGCTGAAGTATGAACAGTGGAAGAGCAGACATGCAGAAAAAGGTATATAGATCATGGGGGGTGAGCATATATATATATATATATGTATATGTTTATCTATCTATATACACATGCACACACACACACATAAAGGTAAGCTTCGAAAAGCCGCCTCTCGCATTGTCAGTGGTATTTGCATGACCAAATTGTTGGGATAGAGCTGACTGTCGAGCGCTTTGGATCCATCCGAAATAGCGCTTTGGAGCCATCGAAGTGGCATGCCAAATATTGCAGTGCTAAGGCGGTGATGCTTCCTGCGAACCAAGCGATTCAGTTGGTGACCTCTGGAGCTTTCGGTCTCCTCTACTACCGTGAGGTGGGAGAGCTTTCGATGTGGCAGGTCTGAGAGATTCTTTTTTTGTGAATGATTTTTTTCATTTTTCAGCAGGTCATGTGAGGAGAAACGGTGAACTTCCTTTGGAAGGGGACTTCCCTCCGACCCACCTTCGACCTCCGACCCACGGTTACGGCACCCAGTTTGACCAATTTGGCACCTCGCCGAACGTTTTGAGGTGCCAAACTTGCGAAGTGCGATTTGCTGGTGCTTCTTGGCCTTGTGGACCTTGGCCTTCATCCTCCTGTTGAGTCAGGTGCGAACAAATCCGGTTTTGGACACACTTCTTCTTGACGCAAATAGATTTGGCAAGCGAATCTCATTTGCTATGTTTGTTTTGAGCATGAGAAGCATGGACTCAGACTACTCAGATCTCATAAGTGATGGAAATGTATCTTTCAAACATGAGGAAGTTGTTGTGCAAGTCTCCAGCGCTGCTTATGGATCGGAGATGTGGACGCGTAGAGTGTAGCTCGCGGAGAGATGGGCTTCAGCATCAGGGACGGCTTCTTTTGCAGACGAGTTGCGGATGGTGAGGACGGACCAGATTGATCTGCTTTTTAAAGGACCCTTTTAGCGTTCCCCCTTCGCTTCATCGCGAGGACCGCTCGGCAGCCCATCGCTCGGAGCTGCTGCGCTTCCGTGTCCGCGTGGAGCTCTTCCCCGAGCGCTTCGAGGCGCTCGTGGAGGCTGCTCGTGCGGCCGAGGTGGGGTGGGTTGGTGGGCCAAACTAGAAGGTGGTTCATAGGAGAATCATTCTTGGCAACGGATGTGGGACAATTCTTAGGTTGGGTAGGAATAGACTTGCAGCTAGATCTAGATCCTTGTCACGTTGCCCTTCGTCGAAATGACAGGGCTCGGCGGCGAGCATGTTTTTGTAGTGCATGCATTTTTCCCCCTGTCTTGTGTTTTCGCGTGCCTTGCTCGAGCTGGGAAAACCCCTGGAGGACGAAGAAGCTGAGACTCCAATCTCGCCTCACACTTCTCAGCCTTGCCGTTTTATCAAGGCGCCGGCGCGGGAAACGCTTCATTTGTGAGAGCCGCTGCAGTGCTCTGCACGCGATACGCGGGACACGCTGCATTGTTCCAGCGTGAGTCGACCCGGTTCCAGTGCGGCCCTCGGGCCAACGACCCGAGGGCGACCAAAAAGTCAACCCACTAACAGTTCCAATTCCAAGCCTTGGCTGAAGCCGTAGGCTTTCTAGGCTTTCGATCATTCCTGGCGCCTTTTGACCGCCCATTTATATAATCTTGTTTTCTTTGGTTTTGTCTTTCGTTTGTGCCATTTGTAGACATTTGCCAGATGCTCGTGCATTCGAGCATCTTCAACCATGAGCCAGTGGTCACAAAAACGTGACCGACGACCGAGCTCTCCTCGATCATCTGGCAGTGGGTGATTTCACTCGGGGAGACCCTGGTTGACCACTGAACATGAACAGAATAGACTACCAGGAGCGGGTTTTGACCCACAGCCATCTCTGTTTCTTGTTTCTTTGCAGCAACAGAGCTTGCTGCCGCCAAGCTGAGCAGCACAGAGTGCGCTTCCGCAAAAGCGTGTTCCGCGGAGTGCCTGGGACGTGTGGCGACCGTCTGCGCAAAAAAAGGAGTTCAGAAGTTCCTTTTTCTTTTTCCACTTCTTGCACATTTGTGATTGACGAGCCTCTCCTTTACTCCTCTCGTTTCCTCCCCTGTCCGTGTCCCTTCACAGCGGGCACAAATCTACGCATCCACGCGAACGCAAGAATATGCAAGAATAAGCAAAGACATGCAAAGACTGAAAAAATGCAGCGCGCAAAAGTGATACGTTGGAACACTCCAACTTGCAAGGCAGTTCTTTTCTTTAGAACTTCTGCAAATGCCTTTGATTGTCCTTACTTTGCCTGTTGATCTCGGGATATCGCTAGGATTTTTTCTTTTTCATCTGGAACCAGGAGAAGGCATGAGACCTGAGAAGATCTGCCGCTTCGGAAAATCGAAAGGATCAGCTGACTCCGACCGCGCCAAGTTTGTGGGCTGCGCCGAGGGAAACTTCAGCTGTACGATGTGCGGTGGACCATATGGCTTCGCCCGTACGCGAAACCATCCTTTTTGGAGAGAACTCCCTCAATTGGGATGACTCGAATTCCAGGGTGAGATGTCCGTTGGCGTTTTTGCTGTTACAACAAGCCGTGTTGCATCTCAACCTTGGGGTACTCCCAAAGGTTTTCGAAGTGAGGGGCTTCCCAAGCTTTGGGAGTCCCCAAGTTTGAGACGCACCCACTTTGTTGGAATCCGATGAGAGAAGTTCTTCTCCCTTGAAGAGGGACAAGACGCCCGCATGAACCTCACTCGCTGCACGGAGTTGGGCTTGGAAACCGGTCGGGCACAATGCCCGTGTGGATCCAAGTTGGCAGTCAAGTCTACCGAACACCACCCGGCTCACGGCCCGTGTGAAGGCACAGAAGAGCCTGCTTTACAGCGTTTCCTTATGGAGCACTGTTTTGTGGCGGGTTTGGTATGCTGACACTCAACCTTTATACCCCAGGCTGACAACAGCCTCAATCCTGGGCCTTCTCTTCATGGATTGCCTCCAACGCTTTGTTTTCAGCTCTTTATTCATGTTGTCGACTCACAGTGACGATGATGTTTCGTTGCTTCTCGCACGATGTGTGATGTCCAATAAACGCAAGGGTGAAAGACGTGGATGCGGTGTTCTTTACACAATCCTGCAGAGAAGGCCACCCCAAGGGCAGGGACCCGAGAAATTCATTCGTATAGACCCGGTCAGACAGATGGACAGGAAGTGAACCGTTGACCGTTGCATGAGCAGCCCAATACCCGCAAAGTGGCAAAAGGCTTGCGAACGACACCAAGTGCTTGGTTTGGATTATATACCATTTCATGTCTATGTTTTGTTCTTTCTTAAAATGAATATATAATAGACTTGTTGCAATACTGTAAAGTGTATGTGTATATTAAAAAAAAAGGTGGGCAGTTCCACATGTTCGTGCAAGTCTTCAGATATGTGCAGACGCTTTCAACTGCATTTGACTTCCTTGTTGAAGCACTCGTGGACATGAGACATCATTGGCAAAAGCAACATCCGTCGCACAAGAGGTTCCAAGATTCTAGACTGGTTCAATTGAAAATCCTCAGCTGGAGTCCTTTACTGGGGAGGGACTCAAGAGCTGGAGTGCTTTCAATGGATGTTACTGGTATGTTCTCCGAACTCTGCCCTGCTTGTGACAAGTTTGTGGGAGTTGAGGCTGGGGTGTCTTCTGGGCAGCAGCCTTCCGCGCTTCTTGGTGGACCAATGAGCTTCGCACGATATCCGGGGACTGTAGTAACTGTAGTATCAGGTGATTCAACCGCCTACTGTTCCAAGTCTTGCAGCTCGTTGTGTTATGGGAAGGTGGTAGATGAATTCAGGGATGAAGTTACATAGCAAGGTGACTAGGGTGATCATCTTATCCACTGGATTCACACGAAGATTGGAAGAACCACAAGGAAATCACGAAACGAAGCTTCAGCTTCCTAAGTTCTCCTTGAGCACGAATCTTGTGTACGGGGAAGCTGGTGTTCGTCAGTGAAGTGGGATCTCTAAGTGGAGATTGTTCGTGGCTTCATTTGAGTCTTCTGACAGCCTGCAGAGTTGGAGTCACACAGCAGAGATGTTTAAGTGGTCATGCCGGAGGAGAACTGACTGGGAATGGGAAGAGAAGAGCTTGGGAAGAGGTACAGTAGAATGCTCGTGTTTTGAGCGTCGCGCAGAAGAAGATTCCAGACTTCAACTACGTGTATGCATGTGTCAGTCCCTGCTTACGTCCCTATGCCCTTGAAATCCCCAACAGACTCCTTTGAAGGAAATTCCAATCTCCCAAGAAGCAGGACCAATGGTTCATTCAGGGAGCCCTTTGTGCATGCCTTTGTGACAGAGTGTAATTCATTTGTTCGGTTTGCTTTTCCTCCTCAACAAAGCAGCTTTTTAGCAGTTGTAAGTTGTACATTCTTCCTGCAATGAAGCGAAAGCCCCTCCGGTGCCAAGGATGCTCCTCCGTTGCCAACGGCAGTGCGAGTTAGCGCCCAAGAGTGCGCCAGTTGGCTTCTTTGGGACCCTGAGTGTGGAGTCGTGGGACCTGAGTGTGGGACCTGAGTGAAGCCTTGCAGTCAACTCCACACTCAGATAGTCTGCGTGTGTTAGTGGTTAGTCCACACAAGCTGCAGGGCACACAATCTGGTTAGTCCATGCAGATTTGCAGGAAGCCTTTGGTCTCATGCCCTCCCCAAAAAGGCCCATATCCATAACGCTTTCCAGAGTCGACGGCGATGGCACTGCGAATTCATGTCACAGTCGAATAGAGCATCATTCTGTGAAGAAGTTTGACCTCGCTTGAATATGTAGTGAACGATGCTGTCAGGGAACAGACATAGTGCACAGACATAGTGAATGGAGTGTAGGGAGTCCCGCAAAAATAGGCTAGCGGCTAGGCAAACGGGTGACTGCCCGCCCTTGGCGGGCTTCGAGGCTCAACTGCCCGAGGAGGGTGGTTTTGTTGTGCGTCCCTTGACGCAGCCTTTGCCAGCCAGCGTGCTGCGTGTGGAGGCTTGTAGGGAACGAATGGATCTGTGGTCAAGGAGTCACCATATCGCCATCCTAGAGCGCCATGGGTCATGTGAGGACCTTACAGACTTGCAGTAGTATTTGCAGATGAAGTATATAAATTGAGGCTTGATTCTTAGCAGCATGTAGCAGCATTGAACCAAAAACGAAGAACCAAAGCCACTTGGAAGCAAAACGAAGAACCAGCAAAGACACATCTCCAGCCCTACGTAGGGCGATCCACCGAGCATATTCTGTCATCGGAATGGGTAACCCTCCAGGGATGACCCGTTTGCTTCGCAGCCCGTCCACCGATGATCCGCAGCGTCACAGGGCCGGTGCCTCCAAGCGCCGCGGCGAGAGGTGCATGCGGACTTGGGCCCCTTGGACATGCAGAGGGGGCTCGCTGTGCCTGGAAGAGTGCTCGTGGGGGGCCTGGAAGAGTGCTGGTGGGGCGCTAGCAGCTGGCCGCTGGCCGCAGCGTGGCCTTTTGGGGGAGACGCGTTGCACGTGACCTCAGTCACTATGACATCGGTCCTAGGGTCCTTGCTTGATGGTTTTATGCCCCAGAGTCTGACGTGATCGGCCCGTGCTTTAGATTCATAATTCATCTTCCGGATTGATCAGCTGGTCATTCGCCACGAACTTCCACATCTCGCCTCGGAAATTTTGCCCTCCACGAATTGGTCGTCGGATTGATTTCAAGTTTTCGGTTCCCACTCGGAGCTTAGAGTGGTAGCTTTGTTCAATTTCCAGCAGAGCCCAATTCTCAGAGCAGAGCCCAATTCTCAGCTTTTTTCGAGGTTTTCCAGAGCCCGCCCTGGTCAGCAACGAGGTGAACTGAACCCTTTTTCTGGGGTCTGACTCCACAATTGATTTTGTGCGCTTGTCCCTTTCTTCAAGCTTTCTTTGGACCGCTGCACTGACGCTGTACTTGCTCAAAAAGTTACCAGGTCTTACCACCGCAGCCATGTGGGCGGTGGCCCTTTCTATGCTGATACAGTATACAATATAGTGAAGGGCACATAGTATTGTTTGTGGCTCCACCCTGTAGCCTTTTGGCTCTTGCAATTGCTTGCAATTGAGTCTCTCATGCATATCTTTGAACCGCTCTCTGGGCCTGTTCTCATGCAGCACCAGGGATACAGGAGGTTGAGCGGATTCTCCAACTTGGCTTTCCAAACTCTCATGATCTCTCATGCCCAAATGCACTAGCAGTCTTGTCGTCATCATTCTCAAGTCCTGTTTTTGGGCACTGGGCAGAGGAACGCAGTCCCAAGACCGATTGTCAGCTCGACCTGCCATGTTGCGGCATGTGGCGCGTGCCACCCGTGCCGCTGGTGCCATGCCGCAAAGTGCGACCCTGGCCATTTGTGCCTCTTGGATTCAACCGCGATGTTTTGCCTTCTCTGCAGAGGAACAGCGGATGAGCTTCCGTGTGAAAGCGGAGGACGTGAAGATGTCCAAGCTGGCGGGTGGACTTTATTTACGTACCACGCGAAGGCAGGAGACCCTTCTGGATGGCATGGGTCACAAGAGCATTCAGAATTGCGTCCGTAGCATCATCTTGGCGAACAAGTTCGCAGCGCAACATCGAGCGGAAGGTGATCCGGAGAAGATCCCATGGTTCTACCGACTGGGCTTTACACCCCAGTTGAGGACTGACTGGTTTCTCTCTGAGTTGTTTTGGCGAGTTTTTTTCCCGAGAGCGTCTGCGAAGGGTTCTTCGTAAAAAAACATCTGCAGAACTACACCTCCTCTACATCTTCACCTCTTCACCTCTGTACAATCACGTTGTCACCTCTATCTCTGCTCATCGTCACATCTGCACATCCTCACATCTACATCTCAGCTCATCTTCATCTTCACACATCTACATCTCTGCTCATCTTCACATCTGCACGTCTACATCTCTGCTCATCTTCACATCCTCATCACATCTTCACATCCTCATCACATCCTCATATCTACATCTCACATCCTCTCTGCACGTCTACATCTCTGCTCATCTTCACATCCTCATCACATCCTCATATCTACATCTCACATCCTCACCTCTCGCTCTTCTTAACTTTCTCTCTTAAGGCCGGGGGCAGTGCCGCCGGACCGCCACGAAACGCAACCGTCTGCGGAGATCGTGCGTGTCGAGTGCGCGAAATGCAGGCGAGAGTGCGATTGGTCTCTGCCACGCGCAACCCTCTGCGGAGATCGTGCGTGTCGGATGCGCGAAATGCAGGCGAGAGTGCGAATTGGGGAAGAACTGGCGACTTTCTAGTACAACTTTAGTACGCGGAGTATCTGGGGAGCTGGAAGATGAGAACTGGCGACTTTCTAGTGCAACTCTAGTGCGCGGAGTATCTGGGGAGCTGGAAGATGAGAACTGGCGACTTTGTAGTACAACTTTAGTGCGCGGAGCAATCTGTGGAGCTGGAAGCTGAGAACTGGCGACTTTGTAGTACAACTTTAGTACGCGGAGCAATCTGTGGAGCTGGAAGCTGAGAACTGGCGACTGTGTAGTACAACTTTAATACGCGGAGCAATCTGTGGAGCTGGAAGCTGAGAACTGGCGACTTTGTAGTACAACTTGAGTAGGCGGAGTATCTGGGGAGCTGGAAGATGAGAACTGGCGACTTTCTAGTACAACTTTAGTACGCGGAGCAAGCTGTGGAGCTGGAAGCTGAGAACTGGCGACTTTGTAGTACAACTTGAGTATGCGGAGTATCTGCGGAGCTGGAAGATGAGAACTGGCGACTTTCTAGTACAACTTTAGTACGCGGAGCAAGCTGTGGAGCTGGAAGCTGAGAACTGGCGACTTTGTAGTGCAACTTGAGTACGCGGAGTATCTGGGGAGCTGGAAGATGAGAACTGGTGAAGTTGTAGTACAACTTCAGTGCGCGGGGTATCTGGGGAGCTGCAAGATGAGAACTGGCGACTTTGTCGTACAACTGTAGTACGCGGAGTAGGTGGGGAGCTGGAAGATGAGAACTGGCGAAGTTGTAGTACAACTTAGTACGCGGGGTATCTGGGGAGCTGGAAGATGAGAACTGGCGACTTTGTAGCACAACTGTAGTACGCGGAGTATCTGTGGAGCTGGAAGCTGAGAACTGACGACTTTCTAGTACAACTTTAGCACGTGGAGTTTCTGGGGAGCTGGAAGATGAGAACTGGTGACTGTCTAGTACAACTTTAGTACGTGGAGTTTCTGGGGAGCTGGAAGATGAGAACTGGCGACTTTGTAGTACAACTTTAGTACGCGGAGCAAGCTGTGGAGCTGGAAGCTGAGAACTGACGACTTTGTAGGACAACTTGAGTAGGCGGAGTATCTGGGGAGCTGGAGATGAGAACTGGCGACGTTCTAGTACAACTTTAGTACGCGGAGTATTTGGGGAGCTGGAAGCTGAGAACTGGTGACGTTGTAGAACAATTTTAGTACGCGGAGGAAGCGGTGGAACTGGAAGCTGAGAACTGACGACTTTGTAGTACAACTTGAGTGCGCGGATGAGTCATCTCTTGCGGCTGAGTCATCTCTCGCGGCTGCTCTGGCGCCCCTGCAGCTGAGTCATGTCAGTCGCTTGTCATGATCGTGACGTCGTTTACTCTCAGGTCGCCCTGTTCGTGGAAACTTCAGTGTGAAATGTACGTTCTTCAGTTCTATTTGAACCTCTTCAGCGTTGTACTTGCACAACTAAGGTTGACGTTGCGCTGCCGTTGCATCGACGCATCTACGTCTACACACCCTCACCTCTCTACGTTTAGATCTTCACACGCTCACCTCCGCAGATCTACCTCTCCACCTCACCACACCCACACATCTGCACATCTATATCACATCTGTACATCCACACTGTCGCTCCTTCACATCTGTCCTGTTTTTCTTTCTTTCTACATATCTTTTCTCTCGTCTCTGTGCACTTACATCTTCGCACGCTCACATCCACAGTATACATCTACATCTATATCGCACCTGCACATCCACACTGTCACTCCTTCACATCCACCCTCTCTTTCTCTCTTTCTATACATCTTTTCGACAGTGCTGGACAATTACATGTCTCGCTCTCGGGCCAACCGTCGTCTAGTCAAGAAATTAAAAAGGAATCTCCCCCAGAAGACGCGAATCCGTTCATCTAGTGGGATATCATTCATCCTTGTGAGTTGTTTGCACCTCCGCTCTGACTGGGATTCTCGTTGTCTATTTTTTTCAATTGACCAGTGGCGGAGGAAGACCAGTGGCGAGCTGTGGGTGAGTCTGAAAGTCGTTGCCTTGGAGAGTCCCTACGTGGCCTCCGAGGGCCCTCCGGGCGACCGGCTACGGATTGGACCGACGGCCGAGGTGGAAGGCAGGTCGAGGGCCGTCGTTGGTCAAAACAGGCAGGTCGAGGCCCTTTCTTTTCGCTCCTTCAAAGCCTTCTGATCCTTCCAATCCGGCTTGAACAGTCCGACCCATTCCAACTGCCTGGCATTTTGCCAGGCGTCTCCACCACCATCATATCCTCCTGGAGCAAGCGCTGCAAGGGTCAGACCTCTGAGCCACTGCTGCGCTGCATGGGGGCTGCCAACGTGAGCATGGCCGTGAAGGGCCTCGCGCGAGCGCGCAAGAACCTGAGTGAGCGCAAGGGCGTTTTGCGGCTCTTCGTGTGCTATCCGGAGCGACCGGGGGAGGTCAGTGGGAGGTCAGGGATTTTTTTTTCCCATTGGGCCAGGCAATGAAGCTGGGCAGATCTTTATATATATATGTATATATATATATAGATTATAGATAGCTGTATTTATCTATTTTTTCCATTGTTTTTTGGGTGAGAGACCTCAGATTCGGATCATCTAACTTCAAGTCTTTTTTGAACACGGAGCATCAAAGGGCGCACTTCCGGTGAATCATGAAATTCATCGAACCAACCCTGATCAGGAGATGCTGCAGGAGAAACTGGAAGACAGCCAGGAAGAAGTGACCTTAACACAGATTCGCCTGGAGCCACAACCACGAGCTCAAAAGCGAGCGAGCTGCAGGGAGGGGGGAGTTGAAGTTGCATTGCTTCAACGACTTGTGACTTCGGAAGGCTTGCCTTGGCTTGCGTGGATCAGATTGACCTTGGTGAGACTTTTGGAAGAAGAGGTTGTTTGGCCTCTTCAGCGTTTCCCATAAGCCTTAGTTGTTGACTGACACCCGGGATTTGACAGCCTCCATGGGCTTTGCACGCAGCATCACAGCTTCCCTGGGCCCAGTAGACTGGGGCCGTCGGGCCGTTCGCAGGTCTTCGCGGAGGTCCGCTACGGTCTGGCGCCTTCCGTGGTTCAACGCTTAGACTTTGAGGACATCCGGGAAGGTGCCGTCCTACGCGGGTGCTGGTGGGAGGAAAACAAAGAAAAAGAGAAGTGACATGAAGTGATCAATCAGAGATGGAAAAGTAGAATGACAAGTAGGAGAACGAGCTGAAGAAAGACGAAGGAGAGGAAGGCAAAGGAGAAGGACTAGGAACGAAGTGGAAGAGGAAGAATAAGAACGGAGAAAAGGGACACGGTGACACGATAGCAATGATAGCTGAAGTCAATTGGTCTTTGGAAACGGTTCACGGCTTGCTGAAGCATGTCCTGTTGCTGAAACGGGTTGCACGGAGGTACCTTGCGACTGTTTGTCCTTCCCGGCTTTGAGGGTGACGTGCGAGTGGTGACCTCAACGTCCTTGCTCCTAGTAGCGATGCCCTTTGTTCCTAGTAGCGAACATTGCTCCTAGTAGTAACGCCAGGAGCCCCGTTCGTAGCGTCCTCATGGCGCGACCGTCTGCGGCATGGAGGGGCTTTCTTTTCATGTTCCTCCTCGTGCGTTGCTTCGTCGAGCGGGACCGGCGCTGAGGTGGTGACCTTGGTGGACGAGTTGGCGGCCAAGGAGGTTTTGGCCCAAATCCACCATGAGCTCACAGGCGCCGGGCGCGTTTTTTTGGGGGCGGCTTTTTCGCTTTTTTCTGGCAGCTCGCAAGGAAGGAGGCCCTGGAAAAGCGTAGGGTGTCGATTGATGGGACATGTGAATCCGGAGGAAGGTCGATCATCGGGCATTGGTGAACGAGCTGGCATCTGCTGACTCAAAAGCCCTATCGATCTCCGTGTCCTACAGCTAGTCCCCGATACAGAGACACCCCCCCGGTTTCTCACCAAGGGGTGAGTGTCAATGGATCTTCGCCCGTGCGTGTCGTGTGGAGGAAAATGGTCTTCCACGAGGCCATTTTCCACTTCCATGTTGGTTCCAGGGAGTGTAGCACTCTGATCCAGAACTCATTTAGAACACCCACAAAAAAGAACAAACTGACAATCCTTCTCCAACTCCGTCCATCCGCGCCGTTTTGGTCACTTTCCTTCCCTTTTTCCCTTTTTCCCCGACCAGGCGGCACGCTGCAGCGGAAGCGCCTGCTGGAGTTCCTCCACGCGGCGGCGGCGTCGCCGGCGGCGGCGAAGTGGCCCAGCAGTGGAGAGGTGAGCTCTGGGAACTTCGTCGAGAGCTTGCTGCAGAGGTGGGGTTTTCGTGGAGTCTGGTTTGGGAACACTCAGGGCTGTGCTTGGCCGGGTGGGGTACCTTCAACCTGGTGTTTGGGGGTCAAAACTTCACGACCACGTGGCCATGTCTTGAATCTCTGACATCTCTGTTGAATGAGTCTTCCGGAATCCCCACTGTCGAGGAGAGGCAAAAGCAAGTTCGAAGAACTCCATCAGTTCTCCCATGTTTCACGCGCTCCACCGGACTTGTCTTCGTTCGCTCGACCCAGGCCCGAGCCAGAGGTGCACGCCTCTATCCCCGAAGGTGCCTTGTTCCCCCACCAGGTGGGAAGCCGTTTGTGCACGCGAACCGACAACGCCACTGGTGAGACTGTGAAATAAAAGTATTCACATCTGGAGAGTCTATGGAGGTGTACAGTAGAGTTTAGATGTATATATGCGGTTATGCTTTTTCCGTCTAGATCCAGGAGGAGAAGAGAGGTTCTTTAGAAGAGAAACGGAGAGGGAAACAAGCAAAAGAAAGCAACATAGACTTGTACTTTTTAAAAACAACTTTTTACACATGTGCAGGCTTCTCCTTTTCTCATTGAGCTTAGGGTTGTAGTGTGTCGGGTTTAGGGTTAAAGGCCAGCGCCTTGAGTCACTCAAGTCTTCAACTTTTCACACAACTTCTTTAGCACCCATAGCAGTATTGGGGTGATTGGAGACACCTTGCAAGGCTTTTCAACCAACCTCCTGGTGGGTCAGGTGGCCACAGTTGCATGGATGAAGCGCATTGAGCGACAGGGGAAACAAAGCTTGCAGGTTGGCCACGGGTGGGAAACCAACGCCAAACCCACAGCTGCGCTCGATTCATCAGTTGCGAGAAAAAGGGATTCAGACATCGGAGGGAGTTTCAGTCGAGCTGTGAACGATCAATAAACGAAGCACATGATTTTAACAATAGAAAGAAGCACACAGGGTTTGGAGCACGGATGTGCAAGGTTGGTTTGCTTTGGACTTGGTCAAGAGCTCAAAGCATGTTGCTAATGCTAGTTTGGTCAATCTTTGGGCAGCATGCAGCAGAATTGGTGGTCATACCCTGGTTCAGTGACCTCCAGCTGGAGAACAAGCCTGCCAGGTTGAGCCTTTTCACTTTGCGGGTACTACCTTGGGCTCGGCCTACACAATGCGACTGCCCTTGGGTGGGGTGGTAGCACACCCACCAGGCTCAGGTGCACACCACACGACTCTGGGACTGTTGCCGCGGAAGAGACTCATCAGTCTTCGGCATTTTTCAGTTGGCTCGCTGCAGTCCGCTGCAGAGAAAGTCTTGATCAGAGTCTCCCTGCGAGGCAAGACTCGTATTGTGGCTGCTTTGGCCAGTGAACGTGCATCATTGCAGCATGCACGGCCTGCTGCTATGGAACTGCCGGCGCCGGGCAGAAGGAAGGCTGTGGCTTGGTCCAATGCTCCGAGAACAGTGCTCCGAGAACAGTCAAAGAGGAAGACCGTCAAAGAGTGTGTTTGAAGATGCTTTGCGTTCCGTTCATCTTCCGAATCAGGTTCGAGGGGGAGGTGATCCATCACCTTCAGCGAACTTGATCAGTGCTTGCAGAGATGTAGTTCTTTTTCTTACACAGCAGTAACCATGCCGCCAATTGTTCTTGGTACGCCTCACACATGCAAGTGAACCAATTCCCAATCTGGCCATAGGTGTCACAACCCGGGCCCGTCGTGCACGAAGCTTGAAACGCTTTGAGCCTCAACAAATGGGTTTGGCCCTCGAAGCTTCACGGGAAAACGATGCGTAAAACGATGCTTCAAGGGTGTTTTGTTCCATGCCGTCGGGTGCCGCCACAGGGACCTTCCATCTCAATGACTGTCCTTTCTTGGGGTCTGCATGTCGGTTTCCCTGTCCTCGCCGATGTTTGCGAGGTTGATTGGCTGCGTTGGTGTCCTTGTGGTGGCTCCAGTTTGAGGCCCTCACCAGAGGCGAACTTGGGTTGTTTCACCCTTCCGGGAAGACTGGATGATGGAAGCAGCGCTTTTTGTGGTCTGAAATGATTGTCGGTTGTGATCACCAAATAGATCGGTTCCCGAACTTGTTCGATCGCCCTCGAACTCGTTCCGACGTATTGGAAGTCGCTCTCTCGGACGTGGGGAGCTACACGTGGACCCCCATAGTCAAAGTGGTTAAAACACACGGACCATACCCATCGGTTCCCAGTGATGCACTCGAACCTGGAAGGGCTCAGCCCATAGGTGAGCGCGAAAACTGCCAGTCAGACCTCGAACTGTGCAGAGGCCGTAGTGACTTGGAAGAACATGGCGATCGCCTGCCGAAAGACATCAAAAGATATGTCCAGGATGCCAACCTTTCATTCTTGGGAAGCTGGCAATCAACAGTGGGCTGAACGCAAAGGTTTGACGAGCTGAATGTTTGAAGAGAAAGTAGGTTCAGATTTTTCTTGTTTGCAACAACATGTAACAATCGATCTCTATGGACCTGTGGAGACTGTAACTGTCTCATAGATTCCAGCGACTTGCCAGAGGTTCCCTCCGCCCAGAACCAGCTTCTACCACGCTGGAAAACCCTGCAACGTGGCCGAGAGGACGAGTGGGGACTTTATATAATATATACGTATATAATATATATACATATATCACCTGTTGGCTCAAGCCATTTTGGCTCAAGCCATTTGCTTCCTCAAGCCAACGCAGGGACAGGTAGCATCCTGCCATTGCGTGGTCCAGCACTACCACAGGCAGAAGCACCAGAAGGACCCTTTGACCGGAACGAGGGCACCTACAAGATCGCCTACATGAAAAAAGCATATTTAGTATGCTCGGGTTGTCGAGGCAGCTGGATTTGGCAGGACCGCCTCAACGTGCAGCCGCACCTCACATGCAATGGGTGTGGGAAGGCCTGGCAACGAGCTTTGCCTGATCTTAGGAAGAAACGGCAAGTTCAGTGGGCAGCATGGAACTTCAATCAAGAAGGGGAGAAGTGGCCCAAGAAGAGTTTCAAAGAGGCACTTCTGGAGCCACCGCCGGGCCTGCATGGCGGAAATCCTGGCAAAAAGAACAAGAAGAGCAAACAAACGGCACTCCAGAAGGCGGTCCAAGAGCATTGGAGCAACTTGCCAGAGAGTCTCAGGACTCAATGTGAGGCTTTGGGGCTCCAGGCCAATGCACCTCCGCCACCACCTGATCTTCCAACTTTGTTGAAAGAACACCTCGCCAGCTTGCCTTCAGACCTGAAGGAAGCAGTTGAAAAGATTGTTGAGCCAAGCAAACCCGAGCCAACGATTGCCACGAAGCTGAAGCAGTCAGTGGGCACGCTCAAGCAGCTCACAGAGAAGAAGGCCATGTTGCAGAGCAAAGCTGATGCAGTCAAGCAGCAGTATTCGGCTCTCCTTCAAGAACTCAAAGACCTCCAGGCAAAAATTGAAGGAGCACAGAAAGAGCTTCAAGAACACACAGCACAATACAACCTGCAATTGGAGCAGGACAAAAAGACGGCTGAGGAAGTAAATGTAGATCCGGACGAGATCTCAGCTGAAAAGCTCATGATCATCATGTCCAATGTAGGAGTTCATGCCACTGCAGAGCAGGTGACGACCTTTGCACAGAAACTCAGCGAGAATGCAGTGAAAAGGAGGAAGTGCGGGTAACCCTGCCAGCAAGCATGACGAACATGGGGCAGCATATTTGGCCGGCAAGCAGGTGCTGGGGGCAGCATGTGCAGTTGAGCCATCTTATGCAGTTTTTGGCTCAGAGGATTTGACTGGGCAGCTCAGTCTGCCCTCTGGGCGTGGGGCATGGACACCTCCATGTGCTGAGGTGTTGATGGGCAAGGAAATCACGTCATTTCCTGGTTTTTGTGGTGGAGCCGGGCCGACTATGGAAGAGCCCATGGACGTAGACCTGGATTCCAATGAACAAGAGCAATCAAATTTTGAAGAGCAGCGCATCACACAGTCTCCGCTGGATTTTGTGCTGCAAAATTTACAATACCGCTTGGGCAATCCGCGCAATCGGTGCTATGCAAACTCTCCCTTCAGACTATGGACCTGGGCTGGTAGTTTTCTGGGAGGGGCAGCTCTGTGGAACAAAACCACGGCGGCTGTCATGATGGCCTTGACCGATGATGAGGTGGTCCAACTACCTCAACTACAATCTCTCCAACCGCTTTGGCAGAGGTTCGATGACAGAGTCCAGGAAGATGCGTCCCAGTTCTTGATGGAACTCAACGCACTGGCTGACACCAAGACCACGCTGGGGCATTATTTTCAGGTTGATCACAGACAGCAAGTCCACCGTCGAGCGGCTTTCCCGGTGCACCTTGTCTGCCCTGAATCTAGTGAACCACAAGAGCTGGAGCAGTTGATCAATAGCTGGGCCAACACAGCAGAAGGTCAAGTTTTCGATGGTGAGGGACTGTGGGTTGCCCAAATTGGGCGATACAGATGGGTCAATGGTGAGTGGACCAAGCATCACCAAATTCTGCAAGTCCCTAGCATCTTCAACCTGCCAGTCACGAAAGATGGCAACACAACGGCCACTGAGCAGTATTCGTTGATTGGCTTGCTATGCCACTCTGGAGATGCGCACAAGAGTGGGCATTTCTTCGCCATCTATGTGTACAGGGGCCTTTACTGGTTGGTTGATGATGGTGCCTATCCACGACCAGTTCCGAGGCTCCATGATGCCCAAAAGATGCAAATTGTGCAAGTGTGGGCGATACCCTCCAAACTTTTGCTGCCGTTGGAGGTGCCATGTGATTTCCCTTCATCTATGCAGACAGTTGGAGACGAGAGACCACCAAAACGACAGTGCCAAGATTCCATCAATTTCGCCTTTGCAAATGTCACATCCTTGGGGCCTGAAGTAAGACAGTGGCTCCTTTGTCGACCTAGAACTCCCATCTTTGTCGCGGAGACTCACCTTGCTCCAGATGATCTGAACAAGGCACAGCAATGGTTTGCCAGCAGAGGTTTTGGAATTCTGGGGCACCCGGCAGCAGTCAGCCCAAAAGGGGGCACAAATGGGGGCATGCTTGTCCTTTTTTCCCACTGACCAGCACATCCATTTCGTTCAGCAACAGATCATAGATGGTTGTGGGTGGTATGCAGTACATTGGAGTTTCGCAAGCCTGGACTTGATAGTGGTGATGGTGTACTTCAAATGTGGAGAAGGCATTCAGGGAGCCACAAACACGTTGCTTTGGTCGGGCTTGCTCACCTTTGTTACAGGGCTGGTGAAACCGGTCATTGTTCTTGGCGACTTCAATGTCACGCCGGAGGAGTTCATGACCACATCCATGAGCTCAATCATGAAGGTTCAAGTTATTGCCACAGGTGAGGATACCTGCTCCACAGGCAGGGAAATTGATTGGGGCTTTGCAAGTGACTACTTGGTTGCTGATTTGCGGGTTGAAGCAGACTGGATTGTGCCTTTCCGACCACATGCGCTCCTTAAGTTCAGTTTGGACAAAGCTGTGGAACACATCTCGCTGCAACAAATTGTGCGATTCAACCCAGCGCCAAGGCTGGAGAACATTCGCACTGAGTGGACCAAGATACCAGAACATGTTCCTGATGTCACCTGGCAGCCGGATCGAACGATATGTGCTGCAAAACATTGATAACCCAAAGCTGGGGAGAGGCACCCAGCTGACCTATGTCAATCGACCACTCGCTGATCCTGGTCGACCCTGGATCTGGCGCAAAGGAGGACAGGCCTACTGGGCACAAGTTGAAGTACGATTGCAACAGCACCTCCATCGTACTCAGAGGGACCACAGCAAGCTGCATCATTTACAACGGTTGGGGTGGCATCTCGCCGCTCACTGGCATGGTGATGCAAAGGTCACTCTGGAAGGTTTCAAACTCCTGTTTGACATGTTGTGGACAAATCATGACGAGGAGCACATCCAAGTCTTGCTCAAGTTTGCCAAGGAGCAACGTACGCTGCATCAGGCTGAGGCTTTCACAGTTGAGACGGAAGCCTACCGGATGTGGATGAACAAGGCCTCAGAGAAAGGCTGTCGAGGCCTTTACCGTACTCTCAAGAAGGATGAGCTGCCTTATCTGCGACCCTTTCAAGGCTGTCCCAGAGTTGAACGGATGGCAAAGCGGCTGCAACAATGGGGCAACATCTGGCACATACAGGACGAACCGGCACACTTGGAGGCTCTGCCACATCTACAAGAGAAAGCACGAAGTCAGTGCAATGACCTCAAACCACTGACCGAGGCACATGTTTGGAAAACCATCAAACAGCTGTCGCAAAAAGCGCCTGGACTTGATGGGGTTGGATTTGATTTTTTCCGCGCCCTTCCATTTCAAGCGATGACCAGTCTGATTGAGTTCTTCCACAAGGTTGAAGAACATGCTACCATCCCCAACCAATGGGCGGTTTCGTTGATTGCTTTGATACCCAAAAGTGCAGACATTGAGCGGCCAATTGCATTGGTGGCATCGTTGTACCGATTGTGGTGTCGTCTCCGGGCACCCTACACAAAAC